AAAATCCTAGCAAGACTGGGCTTCTGTTTCTTTTGAAAACTAGGAATCTAGGCTTTGACCAGTGGGGTGGTCAAAAACTTCCTCATCCTGCATTCCACTCAGGTCTGGATCTGATGAGATCTAGATCTGTAAATAATTTAGGACAGAACTGCACAGAATAATTGAGGTTGAATTGACCTTTGGAGGTCTTCTAGTCCAGCCTCCGTGCTCAAGCAGAGCTGCCTAGAGCCAGTTGCCCAGTACTCTGTCCGGTTGAATTTTGAACAACTCCGAGACTCCACTGTGCCAGTGCTCGGGCACCCTCACACTAGAAGCAGTCTTTCCTGATATTCAGGAGTGTCCCCTTCGGTTTCAGTCTGTGCTAATGCTTCTGGTCCTTTTACTGAGAACCACTGAAAAGAGCCTGGGTTCATCCATCTTCTTTACAATCTCCCTTCTCATAGTTATACACATTTGTAAGATCCGCCTTTTGAGCCTTTGTCTCCCCTACAGGCTAAATGGCCCCGGTTCTCTCAGCATTTCTTTATAGGAGAGATGATCCAGAGTCTTCCTTATCCTTGTGGTCCTTTGTTGGTCTCTCTTGTACCCAGCAGTCCAGCAATGAACCCAGCACTCCAGGTGTGGCCTTGCCAGTGCTGAGGGGGTCACCCAGCTTTGACCTGCTGGTAATACTTTATCTAATGCACCCCAGGATAGCATTTGCTATCTGTGATGGCCTTTGCCACATTGGTGGCTCATTTTCAATTTAGTGTCCACCACGATCCCCAGGTCCCCAGTTGTCCCCCAGAGTGTACTGGTGCCTGGGATTGTTCCTCCCAAGGGCAGGACTTTGTACTTCCCCTTTTGAGCATTATGAGGTCCCTGCAGCCTGTTTCTTCAGCCTGTGGAAGTCCCTCTGGATGGCAGCACAACCCTCTGGTATATTAGAGGCTGTACCACAGCCTTGTGGTACAGTATCAGTTAGAAAACATGGAGAAAAACTGACCTGTTTGCATGGGAAAAAACCTGAGATAGTCATTTTGCAAAAAGGGTTTGAAGTGTGCTGATGCTTGGCCAAGATGTGAATGCTGAGTGGCTTCTTATGTGCCACAGCCAAACCCCAGCAAGCAGCGTGATCTGGCAGGCGGCTGAGAACAGCACCACTGTACTCAACCCACAGCAGCCTCCTGGCCTCATTTTAAAGTGGTATATTGTGAAAAAAGGTTGTCACGATCCCTGTTGAAGTGAATTGAGAAAATGCAAGCCTACAGTCAGCTTGGTGTTCTGGCAAAAGAATAAATGACAGTACATTATGGGTAGATGCAATTCAAGGCACCACGTTCAGATAGCAGGTATTTGTCTTTGGGATGCTATGGTAGCAGTTACAGTGCCTGCCCTCCCTTCCTTGGATGTTACACCCCATGATTCAGACCATCGTAAGTGACCAAAAAGATTATTTAGCCTCACCTTTCATAATGTATTTTGAGCTTTTGTCTGTAGCCACATGCCCTAAAAATTTGCAGGTTCTTTTATGTGTTTCTGAAGTTTAAAACTATGAAGCAATATCTGGTTCTTATATTGGATTTTTTAATATTTTTTTTTAGTAGAAGCTAAGATTTTTATGTAGTTTTGGAATTCCAACAGCTTGCTTAATTGTGTTCTGGCTACATTTGGGAAAATTACCATTTGCCATCTAAGTAGGGTATATACAGAGAATGCTCTGTAGTGCACAGTACAGTATGGAGGCAGGGACTAGACTAAGATACAACCTAAACAGAATGGGAGTGTACCCTTCTTTTCTTCATCCCCTCCTCCCTCCTGGAACAAAAGTACAGAAGGATGTTCCCCTTCACAATAGGAGCAACAACTCCACAGAGAGGATATGGCATGGTGTTAGAAATGAAAAGGCCAATAGGCACCACCAAGCCAGTTTTCTTATTTTGATGTGCACACCTAAAGATAGCAATAAAAAAGTTAAGAAGCACAAGACACAAAAAGAAAGCATATCCATCTGTTGAGCTGATATCCAAGTGTCATATTGAAACTAGTGTAAAATGTAGCCTGTTTCTATGCTTCATTACCATTCATCATTTCAGTCAGTGAAAGTTTTACTTCACCAGTATTTTGTATTTTTCTCATCTATGTTTGAAACCATTCAATTTATATTTATTTATAATTTCAAATATATAAAATGTCCTCAAATCTTTTTCTTGTCTGTACCCATTGTGTTTTGGAACAGCCAACAAAGCCTCGGCAACAAATGAATAATTTTGGAAGTAGGGTCTGTTTGCTTTGAAAATGACCAGTATGTTGGTGCATCAAAATGTTGCCAGATCAGCTGTCTTTCTCCTTTCCAAGAAGGATTATTCTGAATTAAGCAGCTTGCAAAACAGATCAAAGTGAAGAATTTTGTCCAGGCTACTTCTATTGCAGGTTCAGTTAGTAATTACAGTGTTCCATTCTGGTCTTGGGCAATGTAAATGCCACCCTTTCTTTTCTGCATGTTGTTTAATCAGGTCTTGTGATTGTTCATTGCATATCTGGGATGAAAAATGTTATTGATAAATCCAGAGAAATAAGACAGTGACTCACACATCTCATGGTTCAGATTAGGTAAAGGCAAAGGGGCCATTCAGCAACAGAATAAAATACAATTTCATGATTGACATCACTGCCACTATGGATGGTTCCTAAACAATCTTACTTGATTTACAAGAATGCAATGTACATATAATACATTTCTCAATGAACTATCTTGTCATTTATAACTTAGCATGAAATATATATAGCATGGGGAGACTTGTTTTAATTCAGTAAGCTCATGTTTGTGCAGCAACAAAAGACTAAGAAAATGTGCCTGAAGCAGAGAGGCGGGGATGTACTGGGGGAGCTCTCAGCTCCCCGCTGCAGGACAGCTGGAAGGAGTCTCTGCCCTCTTCAGGTCTCCAGTGGATCCAGATTGGGGTGTTTCAGAGATACTCCCTTTAACCTCAAGACTAAATTTTTTTTGAATCTCTGTGATGTAACACTTTCTGATTTTCAAATTGCTAAATTTCCTCACTCGTGGGTAACTTAAAGAAATGCTTTTCCACACTGAAGGGATGAACATATAGGCTGGTAATGTTTAGGGGACATTTCTCCAGAGAGCTGATACTTTTAGGCTCCCATTCAGTGTCTCCGCTCTGCCTGCCCATCGCTGTGCTCTGAGGACTCACTGGGCTGCACAGTCCATGACTGCTATTTTCAGCCACAAACATGACCGAAATGAAGCCCACTTTTCTAAAAGTTTTTGGCAAGCTGTATCACCTTCCTTCTTGAGCATGGCTACATTTGTTAAAACAGATTTGATTATGGGAAACTAGTGCATTTCTTAGTCCTGACACCCCTTCTTCACAGGCAAATAGTTCATATGCTTTTTCTAAGTTGAAAGGGAATCTTGCTGTGAGAGGCTTACAAGAAAGTACTGGCAACAGAGCAACAGGAAAAAAAAAAAAAAAAAGGCAAAAAAGCTGTTATCTCATCATATTCTAATAGCTTTCTTTTTATTTTAAGATACTTAAACCTAATCCTCCAAGTTAGTCCAATCACAGTCTCCAATGTAGCACTGTTTTCAGCAGGTGGTTTTTAAAACCCTCCTTAGATGATGTGCGGGGCCTGCATAGTGAAGTCAATTGTTAGACAGGATATAATTTAGACTTCAGCTCTTCCTCTCAGTTTGAAATAAAACAATTACATTTCAGGAGAGCCTAGAGGGAAGATTAAAAGTTTTATATCAGAAGTTGAGTATTTTCTTTCATTGTACACTCTTCTTTAAAAAAAAATAAATATTCATTTAAAAAAATGCATGTTCTGATTTGAAAAGGCACTGCTCTGAATTAAAAAGAAATTCATAAAGTATGCTTGTATGAGAGGGAGATTGCAATCTTCATTTAAGCATTTAGTAAAAGGTTTTTAACTCAGCTTATTCTGCTTTGTTCATAGAATGAGCTGTCTGCAAAGATGGGTTGTAAATAACAGATAGCCCATAGGGTTTAGAGAGCAGTGGTTAAGGTGGCAAAATCTTCTGGAGCTTCTCTCCACAGGAGGGTTGTAAAGTGATATTATAGCCTCTATTCTAGACTGGAAAATGGTCCTTGCCGGTCTTTAAACCCATTAAAATTGGTTCCAGGCAGTAGCTCCACATAATTGTAGTTCTGGTAACTGCTGTGATGCCTCTTATTTCTTGTACCCAGAAGTTCTCCAAGGGCAAAGGTCACTTGTACAATACAAAGTTGTAAAGCTGACATGAGTCTTAAATATAAATGGAATAGCTCAGATATGAACAGCGTAAGAAGTGAAGAGGAAGGTATGAACAACAAAATTGTTATTGTCTGCTAAGTTCAGCTACTTTTTACCATTTATATCAATGGGTCTCTTTTGCCAAGAGTGCTCTGGGCAAATTTGTAAAAAGGCATTACCTGTTAAAAGGAATTCCTGGAAACCTCCTAAATGAAAATCTATATCTATGCAGTGAGGTCTCTTATAGGAGTTCACCATATCAGCCAAGTGGAACATAGATCTTTTTCCAAAAGCCATCAGAAGAATCTAAATATAACACTGCTGTAGTTAAGTCGCCTGCTTTCATGCCTATTAAAATGAAGAGTTCAAAGACTGTTTTTATTGAGGAGGCTGGTCACTGAACTGGCAAATTGACATTTTGTTGTGATTTTATAGCAGAAAAAGAAGTCAGTTAAAAAGAAAAAATTCTTCTACCTGTTAGCACTAATGCACACATTAGGTAAATTAACCTAATTTCATTTACCTGATGTCATTGGTGCTTGTTTTCACATGTGAACACCTGATCATGGGAACCTAGGTTACATCACCTCATTTCCCTCTATACTGCCAATTAAATAGCCAGACAATAAGTATGAGGTTGATTTGAGGATTTAAGAAGGCTGGGTGCTGATGTTATGGAATAGTGAAGATTTGTGTTCAGTCTCTTGCAAAGGAGATTCATTGTTCATGTGCTATTATTCCAGATTTCTAGAAGAACTGATGTGGTGTGGGCATTAGGACGACAATTAATGGCCACTGAGGAAGAAGACAGTTTATCATATCCTCCTCTTAATGTGACCACTGGAAATGATACATGCATCCTTTATTATGCTGGAAATTTCAGCCTCAGAGCCAACAATTCAGTTCTTATAGATTTGACAAATATGACATTTGTAACCCGGAATGTGGATATTTCTTCCTCTGAGTGCTCAGACACCAACACAACGTGAGTAGCACAAGCAATTTCATGTCATAATACATGTGATTCTGAAAGCCAATCAGAAATGGTACAATGTCAAGTTAATACTAATGTAATTTTCTTCTTCTAAAGCAGACAGAATAAGCAAACACTAAATTTGATATCCTTAAAAGGAAAATATTGAGTTATGACAAAAAAAATTTACAGATGCAGCATCTTATTCTACACAATTTTTATTCCTCTTATATACCTTCCTTCCTTCCTTGTTTATATTTGATCCAAACAGGTTTCCTTGTACTTGATATTAGTCACAGAAACCTCTGCTGGCATTAATGAGATGATCATTTGATTGCCAAATTCCCTTGAAGGGGGTATCACTAGTTACTAGGTAGTAATCCAGCTGGAAGTACATTAATAAAATATGATCTCTGTTCTCCTTTACTTTGAAGCACCTGCTGTTGGCTAAAAAATACTATAGAAATATTTTGTCATATTTTTCTGTGTACTGAACTTTTGCTATGTGACTTTTGTAATTGCCTATTGATTCAGAATATTCCCTCTGATTGAACTGTCACAATGATCTAATTAAAGCTGACTGCTTTAACATTAAAAATCTGTTTCTTATTCTTAGACTGTCATTAAAATACACAAGGCCAGTGAATGGAATCAGCAGCCTAGAGATAAGGTAAGTTACCATTTATTCTTAAATAGATCTTTGTGGAAGCCAGTTTGTAAATTTGGGGAAAAAAAAGAGGAGTTAAATGAAAATGTTTTCCAAATTACCATTTGGTTTCTGTTCTGAGGAGTTATACTACAGGAGAACAATAATACACTATATAGTGAATATATTAATATGCTCAGGGAAAGTTCTGAAAAAGTGATGTAGGTAAGAAAGCATACTGTGAGATACCAGTATATGAAACATCCTGTTTTGCTAGCAGGATCAGACCACAATCCTGTCTCAGGGAAACGTAACTGTGATTTGTAAACAGTTCTAAGGGCCAAAGTCTACTTGCATGGCCAGAGTTGTATTTAGTCCTAATGTGAGTAACCAGTGTACTCTGTCAGAGACAGCTTGTGGCTAAGGAAGGGTGCAAAACCTTGTATTTTTTCTGCTCCATACATGGTAATGAGATGACGTTTCTCCTACCATGAGAAGAGGGAAGAAAAGTTAGGGAATGGGAAGACTCAGGATGAAAAGTCAAAGGGGGAACATGTGACTTGCTCTCTCTAGTGGATTCTAGGGATGGGGAAAGCATCTGCTACTGTTTGAGGGCTGTCATCTAGCTGTTGGTTCACAAACCTCAAGTTCTTTCCCCAGCAGCAGGAACAGCAGCTAAAATTACTTTCTTAAGGTCTAGCAAAGATAATATGTGTGGCCTGCTCTTTTCATTTAAATGGCTGTTAATTGCTTACATTTATTTGGGAAGAACTTGATCCAGGGAACTTGCACTGAATTGAATTTGCGTATATCAGAGGATGAACTGGATGTTTGCTTGGGCAGCAGAAGGGCAAATTACTTTTGCTGTCTAAAATGCTTTCACATCTTGAATAAGGGAAACTGAAAGCTGAGGGAACAAAGAGAGGAAGTTTAAAGTAATAATGTAGGAGACAAGTAGAGCTTGAACAACATTTTGGTAGGAGAGTAAAAGAGGCATGTGGCACAAAGTTGATAACCATGAATTAATAAATACCATTTATTTACACTGAGATAGAAGAACATTCTACATTTGGGTAAAAGTAAAAGGTTTTTAACTCAGCTTTAACTCACAACAACTTGTGTTGAATAAAGTCAGTGATGAGTTTGGAGTTGCATTTGGAGTGCTTAGAGACACTTGCAGTCACCATCAGAGACCGTGATGGGTGGCAAAAGACAAAACATGCTTTCTTACTTAACATATCCCCTCCCCCCAAGCATCTAGAGCTTTGTGAAAGATCAGAATGTTCAAATAGGGCTGCAGGTTAATATTGCAGTTAGCTGTGTATAGGATTCTTGAGACTTGTCCTTGATGATAGAGTCAAGCATTTCGCTGTTTCAGGATTGTAAATTATCAAAGGGACATGCATTTCCCTCAACATCATGGGGAATTCAGGAAACTTTTTCCTTGGATCCCATTCTAGAAATACTGTTCTCAAACCAAGACTATTCCCAAACTGTGTCTTCACTTTTACTCCAAGTAACTAAATATCACTTTCTCTGGTGCTGTTTGGGTGCTTCTCAGTCTACTGTCTGCTGCTCCTGTCTCCCTTTTGTACAGACAGACCCACCCAAACATCGCCCTGGATTCTTATTCTGAGTTTTAGTTCAGACTAGTGCAGGTCTTAGATGCACTCCTGTAATCTCTTCCTGTAGGAATGAATCTGTTTTTTTTCTACATGTCCTGAATGTGATCCCCCCCCTCAGCATAATACCATGCTTTCTAGTAAAGTTACAGCTCCAAGAAAATAATTTGAATCATAAAGCACCTGAAAATCCTATGGAGCATGACACTGTGCTGCAAAACTAGCTACCAAGTTAATTAGAATCATAGAATCATCGAGGTTGGAAAACACCTTCAAGATCATCAAGTCCAACCATCCGCCCTACAACCCCTAACCACTAAACTGTCTCCCCAGGCACCACATCCACCCATTTTTTTAACAACTCCAGGGATGATGCCTCTACCATCTCCCTGGACAGCCTGTTCCAATGCTTCACCACTCTTTCTGTGAAGAAATTTTCCCTAATATCCAATCTGAACCTCCCCTGGCACAACTTTACCCCATTTCCTCTTGTCCTATTGCTGGTCACCTGGGAGAAGAGGCCAACACCCACCTCACCACAACCTCCTCTCAGATAGCTGTGGAGAGCAAGGAGGTCTCCCCTCAGCCTCCTCTTCTCCAGGCTGATAGATCTTAGAAGGGCTGTTTTCTTTAAAGTAGTCAACAGTTTTTGCTCAGCTACACAACGGCAAATTGTAAACCTTAAGATGCTACTATAGAAACAAAATACTTTGGCATTTGAAACATTTATCTTAGATTTTGTTTGCTGCAGCAGGCATAAGAAGATAAAATACGATGTTAGTACATACATATGACCTTAATGAGGATTATTCAGATTTATGTTTAGTCATCTGTTTGTTAAAATCTTACAATTTTAATTAATTATTGGGGGAAAACTTTAATGTGGTCATGAATCTGAGGTGCACCTGAAGAGAAAAGCTTTGAAGCAACTCGGCAGACAGACTGACTGTAAATTAAAGGAGATCAGTATGAAAGGTAAATTGTACATGTTTTCTCTCTTTTTTTACATCCTTTGAACCTGTTGTAGTGAAGGTAGAAATACAAAGTTTCTCTTGACCTGTGATTCTACTTGAATGCATTATAACTAAATACCAAAATGCAAAACCAGCTTTTGAAGCTCGGATGAGAAACTCAGGCTCCTCAATAAATGAGGGCTTGAGAAGAGAGTAGGTGAAGTCCTGACTGCTGTCATGCTCAGTGAATAATTAAAAGTAGCATAGACTGGCTTTGTTTTCCAGGAGAATTTGATTTATTCCACTGGGCTAGGTGTGATCCAGCTTTTTAATAGCCCCTCAGAGCACTTAGACATAAAATTTGATTATTTTTAGTGTGTGATACAGGTGCTTAGCAACAGAAAATTTAACAGTGGAAAAAAGAGAGAGGTGGCTTCTGGGGATGTAATTGCTTGGGTTTTTGTTGTGCATTAGCCTGCTTATGAGAGGTAAATAGTAACTGCTTCTGTGTCACTTTCTTTCTCTTTCCTCCACTTATTAAGCTATCTTTATCTTGACACACAGGCTCCCTCATTTTTGCTCTATTTCCCCCCGCCCGTCCTGATGCAGACAGGGAGTGAGCAAGCAGCTACATGGATGCTGGGCTGCTGGCTGCTATGAAACACCACCACCTCAGAAGCCTTTGTAAAGAAAACTTTCTCCTAAAGACACACTTTGTTATTATCTCTTTATTTAAGAGGCCATCGTGTCATTTCAGGCCTCTGTTAGCTAATAAAATATTACATGGCATATAATGCAAATAGTAATGACATAATCACAGAATGGTAGAGGTTGGAAGTGACCTCTGGAGATCATCTAGTCCATCCCCCTGCTAAAGCAGGTTCACTTAGATCATGTGGCACAGAATCGTGTTTTAAAGTCTTTGACCCAACAGTTGTGTTTTTGTCTGAATCTTTGAAACAATAGTAATTCCAGCTAGCTTTCTTTTCAGAAATCTCTCTCCTTGTAATGAATAGCCAGATGAGTGATCAGTAACAGGTAGTGGTGTTTAGAGTTTATATGGTTTGCTGGCACAAAAGGAGTCTGAGCCTATGACCAGGAATTGCATGTACCACAGTGCATAAAGTACATAAAGTCCGTGTGAAAGTTTGCTTCCAGCATTTCCTGTGACGTTCAGTATGAAGACAGCATTTCTGTAAAAGCCAGGGTACTTCCAGTTCTGCACATAAAATCTTTTTCTCTCCCCCCCTTGTCATTAATTTGCTACTTTTTACTTACTCTATTTACTATCTACTCTGAGGAAATATGACACTAAACAAAGTCATTATTTTGATTTTTTGTTATTTGAATGTCTATTTTTGTTATTTAATGAATTCTAGTTGTATCAGTGAAGCTTGTGCTTTTTGGACTCTATTTGTTTGGAAAAATGCTATGGATAAAAGCCTGTATTACAAGTTAACCATGCTCAACTAGCTCACTAATTAGAATCTTAATTCTCATAAATCTGCAAGTAATATAAAATTTTAGTCCTTGGTGCCACGTGAAGAGGCAGCATTTTCATGGAGATCACTTTAGACTGTACTCACATACATAGCCTTAAATGATTTGTTTGTGCATATGGCAAGTCTCCACAGAATTTCCTTGTTCGCCCCTTTTCTTATCATTTCAGCAAAAGTACAGAGCACACCCAGCATCAGTGGTTGGCACAAGCATTTAAATAAAGTGCTTAGAACTGGCCTTCAGCTGGTACCTGCAGCGTTGCTGCTGAGACACTATGGAAATTCTGTTCCCATTATGCTGTATATCAGAAAAAGATTCCTTTAATATAGCAATTAATCTTTGGGATAATACATGTTGTAATTTTGTGACTTTATAACAACAGAATATTTTCCATAAATATTTGTGACTGTGTACTAGATGAAATTCAAGTGTTTTTCTTCTTTTGACTGATGCTTGCAGCTGAATGTTGAATGGAAGGAGCTGTTTAAGCTCAAAATGTAAGGAATGTCCTTTGCTCATTCAAGTAATACTTTGAGTTCTAGGATTTCTTCTGAGCATTTTGAAACTCCTGAGGAATATGAAATTATATGAGTTAAAAGCCACAGAATATTAAAAAAAAAAAAAAAAAAAGGAAAAAATAATCAATAAAAAGGCTCAATTACTGTAGTAACCAAACCTGTCAGATTGTGAGTGTTACTTCCAAGGAGTGTTGTTTGTCTAGAGTTTATACTCTGTATTGTGTGGACAAGATGCTACTGAAAGCTAATTTGCTTGAACAAACAAGCAATATTCTACAACAAAGAATATTATATACCCTATAGAATAGAAAATATTCCATATTACACCATGTTTATAGGTGATATTTTATAGGTGACATTTTTCAAACCTATCATAACTGCAACCTATCGTAACTCCAAATTTAGAAATCCCCATACAGTGTTACCTATCGTGGATAGACATATTAGGATATTTAAATTTGCAGCAAGTCTCTCTCATTGCTAAAAGGCTTCCTTTTCTAATTAATTTGTGGTTATCAACAAGCAAAAAAAAAATCTTCAGCAAACTATATATAGAGCAATACATACATAGAACAAGTAGGGTCAAAGTACTAAGCAACATACAATAAGGAAAAAAGTTTATCATTTCCTTATGAGATAACTTGAATACCTAAAAGTAACTGGGTAAAAAGTGGTAAAGACTAGGACATTGTTCTGGTCTGTAAAAGATCAGGATGTACTACTAGATGTTCTCAATTACTTCTGTTTCAGAACATTTGGGAGGTGTTCAGATTGCAGTGGTAGTATAAATCCCATGCTTGTAAACTATTGGAGGCTGCTGCAATACTGCCCAGACATGGACCTTTTCAAAAAGAGAAAGTACTAATTTGTGCCTAACCCACTACAAATTTGGAAACTAAGGCTGATGACCCCTCCCCACCCTCTAGTGATAGAAAACCCTGTCTTCTACTGCAAATTCAGACATTTGCAAAGGAAATTGCCATTTAGGCATCTGAGCCAAGGAAGAATTGCGATGATAAATCAGAATGGCTATCATGCCTGTACCTATCATAAAAGCAATTTTCAAAAAATCCCATAAAATGTTTATTGGGAGCTTCTGCAGGCCTGCTGACAGTCTTTCTGGTTCTGCTCCTCTGATTGTAAAGTGTTGGTAACTGATGAAGTACTGCACTGGCAGAGGCCCTCAAAGAATGAAATCACATTTGCTCCTTGCCTGCCACAGGTATGGAAGTCCGTGCTTGCGAGATTAAACTCTTAAGAAACAGTAAAACATATTCACAGAGCCTCTTCACTTATGAACAATCCTAATAACATGGGAGGCCATGCTAAGATACCAACTGTGATGTCTGCAGCTAGGAATTGTGAACTTTCATCTGCAACCAGTACTTTTATCAAAGGAATTTTAACTTTTTCCTTCTGTCATTTTGATGGTTTTTTTCCCTCTGTTGTCTTTCCAGGTTTTTAATGACCAACAAGTTCTATGGAGGCTCAGCTCGAAATTGGTCCACTTTAGATTCAGTTGAGATTGTGCAAGATGGAGAAAAGTTTGCTAAATTTAGTGTTTCTGTCATCTCTGCTCCTGCAGAGTATTCATTTCATTGTCAGCTGGTGGGAACAAGCAATCTCTATTCTGCAAGGCTGATTCCATCCAACGATGAGGCAAAAAACTGGGATGTTTTCATTTCCAAGTTTCAAGTGAGTACACATTGCCATTTCAGAGATAATTCCAAGAACTATTACTTGCTGTTGTAGGTGCTGAATGACACACATGCATAATGTCCTTACCTTCATTTCAGCCTGAGGGAAAATGTAAAAGAAAAGCTGTTCCCCTGAGGTGAGCTGTTCAATAAAGGACTAAAAAAGATGGCAGTTGCTGAACAGTAAGGACATGAAAGCACAGCTTTGAAAAACAAAACACTATGAAGTTGTCTACAGAAAAGAAAAACTAATAAAACCAAATGCGCTTAATCAGGCAAAGAATGACTAAGTCCCCATGCCTGTTTAATGAATTGGGCTGCTCTTGGAAACATGGACTTCTTAGGTGGGGGGGCCTTTCTGCTGCTTGCTTTGTTTTTATTTGATTTCTTTGCACTTTGTTTTCCTAGGAAAGTACAGCTTAGTGTGGTGACTGTTTTCAGTGACATAGACTGTCTGTACTCCTACAGACAGAAACAAAGCCCAGTGCAATTACTTTTAATGTAAGCTTTGCCATGAACTTCAACTGGAAGCAGGTCCCACATGGCCCAGGTTGGATCCTGCAGCCCAAGACAAAATATTGCTAAGTCCAGAAATGTTCAGAGATGTTCAGTGCATACTTAAGAGCCACAAAACCAACAGGTTTTACTTGAAGGCTTTGTCAAAGGTCAAACGATGGGAAAACTCTATTAAAAAAATATTTTTAAAATTAGCAGTAAATGCAGGGTGGTGTAACCAAGACAAATGACACTGGTTCAAACTCTAAAACTTCTCCAGTTCAGAGGCCTGTATACAAAAGGCTTTTACATTAATAAAAATTAGATAGCCACATGTAAGTATTTTTAACTTTTCTATAGATAGAACTGCTGCTAGGAGTCACATTTTCATCTCCCACCAAGGATCTAACTCCCCCACAGAAATGATAAAGCTTCAGAAAAACAATAAAAGAACTCTGCATATACTTCATTTCCCACCTAAAAATAGACATAGCACTTTAAGAATGTACAATTAAACTCGAAGGTTCAATAAGCATAATCCTGCTTTTAAAAAATCCAGTACAATTGACATAATGAAATTCAGTACTTCTGGCTTTATATCAGAAGTGGTAAAGCCTTTCTAAACCAAACATAACTGTAAAGTGCTTCAGAGAGTTCTGGTAAATGTGGTAACAAGTGTGCATTGTTTTCCAGAATTTCAAACAATTTTTTGAACATAAATCACATAAATCATCACCTGCTTTCTGTTTTTATTCTAAATAAGCCTTTCACACTACATTTCATGACTCCTATTCACATTCTCATATGTTGTCAATGCAGTGGCTTAATGAGCAAAGGCTTTGGTAATCACCTGTATTCTCTAAAACTGTGCAAACAGTTATCCAACCCAAAAGCTTATTTTCACTAATCCTGCTTTAATCAGAAGTCTGACTGCCTGCAGTGAAAGCAGGCAGTCTTCAAGTTAACTACTATAATCTAACTTGGAAAGATTCTTCTAAGAGGCCCAGAAAAGCTTGAATTGCTGAAATTTTCTTTACTTCCTCAGTACTTAAATAGCCCTTAGTTCTGCATATGATAATAGTTGTATTAATTGACATTCTGGAAGGTATAGACATTGGTCTTAACACAAATCTTACGTACACATTAACTTCAGGTGCCTAAGCCATGGATGAACTAAAACCCTGAGTGATTACTGGTGTAGCATGGTATGCAAGCCATAAACTAATTTCTCCAGTGTTTGTATGAACACCTTTCTCAGGAAGTACAAACTGTTTCATTACCACAAAACTTTCAGGTTTTTTTATCATAAAGCATAGAGTAATCATGGTTTGGGAAAATAGAAAAATAAGAAATCCATGGTCGTCTTCTTCCTTGTTTATCAATACTGATCATACATCCCCTTTGGGACTTTACTTCTTAAAGAGACACAAACTCCTGAAGTGGGAATTTAATTTCCTGTGTGAAAAGGGGATCTGGAAATTTATTATGCAGAGGATTTGGTTCTCACTTTTTTTTTTAGTGGACAGAGTGTGAATGATAATTACCAGGTGCATTTTTTGTGATTACCACATATATCCTGAAAGTAGGGCCTATGCTTAATTTCACTTATCTCTACCTTTTTCATTTTCAGATTCAAGGTTTCAACATTGAAAACAACCAATTTTCCTATGCAAGTGACTGTACAGGTTTCTTCACTCCTGGAATCTGGATGGGCTTAGTGACATCCATACTTCTGCTGTGGATCCTGACCTATGGAATCCATATGATCATGCAGCTCACAACAAACAATAGATTTGATGATCCCAAAGGTCCAGCCCTGTCCGTTCCTCAGACAGAGTAGCCATGGATTAACTTCATGCTGCTATGGCTTTTCCTGGTCTGATATTTATGATTTTTATAACCTTTCTACTTCATAATATGTGTAAACTAAAAAGATACCATAGCAGAAAGGGATAATTTAACTATTTATAAAAAGGATCCTTATGTTTGGCAACAATAATAATCCTACTTGCTATTACCATCATTTGTTAACAGCTCTCTGTTTTAAGGGTCCGAGGTGAGGCTATAGAGGTTATTACTCTTTTGTGGCTATGGAAAAGACCATTACAAACTACCTTCAGATTAACTACTATTAGCAGAGAAAGGATAGCACAACACAGATAAATGGAAGGATAAATAACTTCTGTATAGGAAGCAATATATTGAAACTACTGGTCTCTCTAAAGGCTCTTTAGTAAGTATGTCATATTGATGCTACATCTTAAGAAGGGTGAACATTTTGTCAGTTTTTCTCTTGAGTAAACCATCCAGAAATGTATGGAACTAATAAAGAATAAGTAACTAAGAAAATGGTCTTGAAAAGTCTTTTCAAAATACATGACTTTGTTCAGAAGTGGTCACACAAATGAGAATGGGTGGATAAAGGTTTAGCTTCCCTGTAGTGCTATCTTGTTCCTGGGAGAATTATGTTGATTAACGCTAACTCGTGTTTGTTTTAGCCATGGACAGCTGATAGTTACTAAGCAAGATAGGTCCTTGTCTGAGCTGATCACAAAATTGTATTTGATGTCATGGCAATGAATTAATCTGTTCAAGGTCATAACCTAGTACGATTCAATGTGCCGGTACGGACAGCGTCTTAACAGAAATAAGGTAATTTTCTTAGCATCTCTCCTCTTCCAGGTGTATTTGGAGTAGTTCTGAAGTTTGCATGGAAAAAAAATAATTATATAAAGTCACTAGAAGCACTGTGCTAATGTGCTGTTAAAGTCTGAACATGTTTGTGGTCATCTCAGTGATTCTAGAAGTCTGAAAACATTTAAGACTGTGCACTATGACTTCCCGTTGGGCAATCTGACTATGAAGTGAATTACTGAATGTTATGAAAAGCTAGGAAATAGTAAAAGAGCAATGGTAAAATGGAAATAAATAGTAAAAATAGCATTTAAAATATTTCTTCCATAATGTTTTGATATGATTGTGCATGTTCTATTAGTACTTAAAGAACAAAAAGATATAATTTTGACAAAATCACCTTTATCACATGAAAAAAATTTCTACCTATTCTGATCTTGATTCATGTCATAGGACAGTGATACAGAGGAGAGACACTTAAAATCAACTATTTAATTAGACCAACAATAGTTTCTACCCATCATTCCTGGATGTCACGCTTTTATTATGCAGTCTAAGAAGTAAATTAAATGCTGTCTGAAGCTATTCCGCCTGAATCATTCAATCCTGACCTGGAAAACAAAACAAAAAAAGCTTTCATCTAACTAGCAGAGATGACTCCTCTGCTGTAGCATTTTTCTCAAATGTTTTTCAAAACCTCAAAGAATGCTGCCATTTGATCTACACAAAATTGTAGTGTTAGAAAGGCACATTTTAATTGTACAAATTAGTTGTCAGGAGAGACAACTGAACTTGTTTTATTAATTCTCCCTTCAAAGCAAGTTACAGTAGTGTGCCAATTGAAAACTGGCATGATAGTCATGTAACTGATAGCTAGAAGAGAGGAAGGCTGTTATAAATGACTTGGTTTGTAGAAGACAGCTTTCTTATTACTTTTATCTAGATTCAACAAAATTTGGAACAGATTTTGTTCAACGGTGGTCATACAGAAGAACTGAAGAACACCTTTACAAGGCTGCCCAGCTCAGGATCTGTCTCCAGCAGTGCTATGAGTATTGTGAGCATGTAGTATTACTTCCTGCAGATGTTTTCCTATTCTCCACCATTTAAGCTCAGAGACTTCCTCAGCCAGAGGTTGTGTCCTTGTATGTAATAACCCTTGGTATAGTTATAGTCCGTTAATTTATTTAGCATCTTCTTGAGCCTGTGGACTGTCCTGGAGCTCACAGTGTTCTAGTTGTAGTATTGCCCTGGGGATCTCTGTATTTTCTCTTGCTTTCCTGGGCTGGACTCTGGAGAAGAGGAGGAGGAGACAGAGTCTCACATAGGCTGTACTTCTTTCAGAAGCTTAGATTGAAAGAGATGTTAAATGTTTGTTGTATTAGCTTTTCACTGATTCAGTGAAACTGCTTTCAGCCTTCTGAAAAGGGCCAGACTGAACAGTGTGCTCTGTTTCATGTTACACATGCCAGGGTGAAGAGAAAGGCATTTTTTTTGAGAGAAAAGCAACTGCCCAGGGAAGTGGTGGAGTCACCATCCCTAGAGGTGTTTAAGAAGAGTCTAGATGTGGCACTTAGTGCCATGGTCTAGCTGATGTGGTGTTAGGTCATAGGCTGAACTTGATAATCTCAGAGGTGTTCTCCAGACTCAGTAATTCTGTCATTCTGTGATTCTACCTTGTCTTACAACAAACGCTTTGGCAAGTAGGACCTGTGGGGTAATATAGTTTGTTCCTGTAGTGATTTAGGATACTCTTGTGATGGAAAGCTCAAGCTACATGTTTTAGCCCTTGATGTAGTAGCAGTGTCCTTGTGAGGCCTCTGCTGGGAAGGACAGCAGAAAAGGAAAGGAACTGCCTACAGCCCTACTTGTCTCAGAGGGTCAGGTGGACTGGGCTCTGGGGACAATGGTCAGTCCCTCTTAGAAGTGGATCAACTGCTCTCTGTCCACCTGTGGTGGGTTGACCATAGCTGGCTGGTAGAAGCCCACCCATCTGGCTGCCCCTGCTACCAACACCTTACTATGGACATCCAGTGCATCACCTCAGGAGACCAGGTGTGCTACTGGAGTCCCCATGCCATCTCAAACCCTTGCAGCTGCATGCCATGCTGCCCTGTGGCTGAAGACAAAGACAGTGAACATGACTGATTCCTTTTAAATAGGGGCAGGCCTCAAGAAATTCTAGCAGGATTTAGCACTTGCTTGTCTGTTTACTTTTCTGAATAAAGTCTGAAACCTGTCAGGGAGCTTCCAGGTCTGTGTACTTAGGATTTCACAATTCAGCTTATTCACAGATGCACTTGTTAGAACATGCCTGCTTTTGGAGCTCTTCCAGCCAGAATATTAGTGCTGTCTGCAAGGCGAGAGCTCTTAGGGTGTCCCCCCCTACAAGAAGTACTGACTTCCAAAAAAGGTTGAAGTGATGATGGGGAAGAGCATTAGTTATAAAAGTAGAAGTTTTTTGTTTGCTTCGAAATACGTAAAGAAATGAAACAATGAAGAAAAAATCTCATATACTCTAAAAAAACTATAGCACAACTTGAAAAAAATCAATTTAACTATGAAAAATCAAGATGAAAACCAGCAAAAAATTCAAAACCTAAACACAAGTCCTGAAGCCATAACTTAAGGTATTTTGTCACAAAATTCAGCAATGATCATTTGTTAGAGGGTAGAGCTGAGATGGACATAGAATCTGAACCTTCTGACCTGATAGAGGTTTGGTTTATGTCCTCGTCTGTTGGTTTCTCTATGTATAAAATTACTTATATTACAAATCACGGGGAAACCCAGCAATGACTTATAATGAAACAGAATTATAATAGAAGTAGTACAAGAGTAGTATTTTAATGTAAGCAGTAAAAGAAGATAAGTCATCCCATCTGTCAGGGGAAGATTCAATAAAGTCATTGTCTCCTCCTTTCCTTCTGGGTGACTGGTAAATAATTATATGCAAATCAAAATCAGCTGAATTGTTGGGCAGTGTCCAGGTATTACTGAGCTCTGTAATTGTTTCAGCATAAACAGGGGTCAAGCAGGGAAAACCAGAGATGCTGAAAACAATAAATGACCATGAGAAGCTAACTCCTGAGATAATCAGAGTTGCAAGAAGCCTGAATGTTGAATACTGGTCACTGCTGGCAAAAAGCAGTAGTCTCAGCTGGTGGTGATGATTATGGACGCAATTGTAGAGATAATCTCATCCTTACATTGAGCAAGAGGATGAAACAACCCACATACAGGGCAGGGGCTCCTTTTCTGAAGGCTGTTTTTTCTGTTGCATGGTATGGTGGGTTGACCCTGGCTGGCTGCCAGATGCCCACTCAGCTGCCTTCTCCCTCCCATGCTTCAACAGGACAGGGAGAGAAAATAAGATGGAGAAGCTCGTGGGTGAAGATAAAGAAAGGGATACTACTGATCAGTTACTATCAGAGACAAAATAGACTTATGTAAAATTAAGTTATTGCCAGTTGAAATAGATTTGCTAGTGAGAAGCAAACCCCAACACCTTAATTCTGCTCAATGCCAAACAATCCCATGGTATCTGGTACCTTCCAGTAAAGGAACCTGACCTTCAGTTTGCTAATAAAGGTTCTGCTCTCAGATGAGTTGGTTCCATATCAACACTTAAAGCAAAATCAGGGACAAAAAGAGTTATTTCTTCAGAACTCGGATTCCTAAAGGCTTAAAATTATTGAATTGCAGGGGAAGGAAAAAAAAACAAACCAGAAAGAAATGAGAGCTTGCCAAGGGGTGGTTCCCTACATAAGTAGTCTTTCATTTCCACAATGTGGGATGTTGTCTTTCTTTGTCTTCCTACCTGTGTGGGTGGAAAGGAGACTTACAACAGTGACTGAGCCCAGGAGCAAATCATCTGCTCTTGATGTCCTACAAATGAAGTGGCTTCCTTTTCCTCACCACAACTTTTTGTACGCCTTCTGTTTGAACACAGGTTCCCTGCTCCAGATTGACTGGATACCTGTTTAACCCCTGGACCGGGTATGTTTTTGAATAATAATAGCTGAACTTAGTTTTAGTCTGTTTTATCTATCATTTGTTATTGCCATAACAGAACACAGTTTACTGAACGGTCATCTATTTTCTGCTTTGCAAATGGCCATGTGGGTGTCCAGCAGAAGACTAGGAAACCCATTTTGAGTCTGTCCTAATACCCCCTTAGCTAGTTGTGCAGAAGCAACTGAAAACGAATGGTGTACAGACACCTTGACATCATATGCAACTTTCTTTAATGAATGGAAACTGTGCAAAAATAGTGTTTGCAACGTAAAAAACCCAAACAATTGCTTTCATAAAAGTATGTTTGGAAGGTGGGTAGGTTGAATTTTGGGTATGATGTTTGAATTATAATTTTGTGTATCCTTTTTATTCT